TCCAGCTGGGCCCAGAACCGGGGACCACATACTGCAGTGGGTCACACCACCAAGGGCCCAGCCCAGCCAAGCAACAGAGAGGCCCCAGGACCTGGCTGGGCCCGGCCTGCGGTCCCCATGTGCCGCACTGGATCCTGCCACTAAGGGCCTGGCCTAGCCGGGTGGCAGATGGTCCCCAAGGCCAGCAGGACCTAGCTGGGCCCGTCGTGTGGTCCCCACATGCCATGCTGTGTCCTGCCGCCATGGCTCAGAGCACCCCACTCCCACTGCTGCTGCTAAAAGGTAAGTTATGGGCCCTGGGCGGGTGGGCTGTGGCCCTCCAGCGGGAGCTGAGACCCTGGACAGGGTTTCTGGGACCCTCCAGGGGGAGCTGCACCGTATGGGGGCCAGGGGACCCACACATCCTGAGCAGCCCCCCCACAAGGTACCCCACACCCATAATCCCCCCAGCAAATCACCCCACACACCAACCCACATCCCTCCACACAGCCACCCACCTTCCCCACACCCCTTCCTGAAAATACCACATCCCCCCCATCACACACCCATCATATGCGAAGAAATCCAAAAGGTACACATCAACACATATAGGTATTTAGAATTTATTTTATCAAGATGACAGAGAAACTGGTAGGCTTCTATACTGCTTTAACATTGTAAATATACCAATAAAGCACTGCCCAACTGATTGCTATCTCTCTCTCTCCAGATGTGTGTGTGTGTGTGTGTGTGTGTGTGTGTATTTTTTATATCTATATCAAGAGAGAGAGACAGAGGTCTGGTGTGTTAACTGTGGAAAAAACATGGATTTTGGGGTATTTTTAAAAATGGATTTGGGATGCTGCTGCAGCAATCCAGCTGGCACAAGGGGTAGTGTCCCCAGGTATCAAGTGGCTGAGCCCCAGAAGCTCCTGAGAGTAAGTAGCCCTGAGCTGCTTGCCAGGGCAGCTTTTTGTATGGATGGGGCCAGGACAGGGCAGTTTTTTATACTGCTGGGGACAGCACAGGTGCTGGCCCCAGGCTCTAGCTCCCCATGGCTGCAGATCCGGGAGGAGCCAGGCAGGGTTATTTTGACTTAAGTGGCACAATTTGCTCCACAACAAAGTGCATGTCCAAGCACGCGCGCTGAGGCAAAAGCCCCAGCTCAAATTTGCACCGCTTCTATCTGAGCTGCTGCAAGAGCACGTGCTTGCATGTGTGGACGTGCCCACTGAGTCCTCAAGACCTCAAAACAGGATCCATACCTCACCAACCCTCTTATCCTAAAAGCCTGATGTGCCATCAGAAGAACCAGTTCCGCAATTTTTCAGGGAACAATAAGGCTACTGAACCAAATGGTACGTGCCTAAATCTTCAAGTATGATGGTTAGGAATACATACTGAGACTCCACAAATTTATTCTGAGTTTGGATCAACAAAGAGTTACCTAGGGACCTGAAGAATGCCAACATCATGACTATCTTCAAGTAAAGGGTAAGTCTGTATGGGAACTATTAAGGTCACCCTCCTTTTCCACATCCGGGAAAAATCCTCGCCTGCATCCTCCTGAACAGTCTTCTACCTCCTGCTGAGAAAGTCCTGCTGGAATCTCAGTGTGGCTTCAGACCATCCAATGGAGCAACTCACATGATCTTTGTTACCTGCCAGGTTCAAGTGTCAGAAATAACATTAGGACCTGTATATGGCCTCCACTGACTTCACCAAGGCTTTTGTGCTCTTTCAATTGCAAAGCCTTTTAGAAAGTACTGGGCCAAAAAATATATGAAGGTGCTGAGGTGTCTCCAAGACTAGGTGACTGACTGTTCTTTGTAGAGGATCAGAGACAGATCCAGTTTTCATGTGAAGTGGGGTCAAGCATGGATGGGTCATAGGCCCAATGCTGTTCTCCTATTTCTTGGACTGTTGTCCTAGTTAAGGACCGCCTCCCTTCTGGAACTGACAGTGCATACCAAACAGATAGAGGGCTCCTCAAATCCCCTTCTTCAAATCACCATTTAGGTAAAGACCCTGAAGGTAGTCAAGCATTTCCTTTTCTTTGGTAGCCCCTTCTCTCAGACAGCAAATGTTGATGAAGAGATTCAGCAAACGATCCAGTGTGCAAGCACTTCCTTCAGGTATTTGCAATCAATACAAATGTGTTAAAGTAATCTCCTCAAAGAGGCCAAGATCCTGGTCTACACCAGTCATAATTCATAGTACCTAGGGTCAAGAGGTACCTGAACAGATCATCTAGCCTGACCCCCTGCCACAGGCAGGAATGGATGTTGGGTTCACAAGACCCCAAACAGGTGATCATCCAACCTTCTCTTGAATTTGCCCAAGGTAGGGGCGAGGACCACTTCCCTGGGATGAATCCCGCACACTGGGATGGTCTGTAAGCTCTCTTTAAAGTACAACCAACTCTCCTGGACTCCTTTCCCCCTCAGACTGGCGTCCCAAGGGATTCAGGCAACAGTTGCATTTTACTGATTACAAGATTCTTCAAGGATTTACAGACAGATGTCCTTGATAACCAATTTTCTAAACAATGGAAATACAGTAGAGATCATAACTTCAATAAAACATTTTGGTACTGTATGGGAACTTAGCTAAACGCGTGACGACTTGAGTGAATATAAGAATTGTAAGGGAAGGTGGGTAAAGAACAGAAAACGACAACTTATATTGAAAAGGTAAACACAGTATGTTGCATTGCGTGGAAATAGAATATATTTACATTAAATGAGCTAAATTAAAAATAGCAGTATGCACTCCGAACTATAACTCCATTTTCTTTTACACAAAATGGATGCATGATTTATAATACAACTGGTACATGGTTTTATAACTTGTTAATATTTTGCCTTTGGGTACTTCAGTAACATTAAAGTATTAAAATACTCTTGGAAAATTATTTGACTTAATTAAATAACTTGTGAAGATTTTGTTGGGGTTTTTTTTGTTTTTTTTTTTTGTTTTTTTTTTTACAGCTTCATGTACATCCTAAATAAAATAGCTCATAGTTTACATCAGTTATATCATGTATCAACCAAGCTAAAAAAAAAAAAAAAAACAGAACAACAGGATTTTGAACAAAACTACTTGATATGCTCAACACAATGATCCTTTCACTAGACTGGGGGGGGGAAGGGGAAGGAGAAGCAATTAATTAAAAAGCTTAAGGTTAGTTTGTTTGTTTTTAATGTTTAGAGAAAAAGAGGTGTAATATTACTCCATGGTAGCCAAAGGCTTGAATCCTACAAACAGGAGAATGCATTTTATTTTACTCACAAATCTGGTTTCTTCAAGTTGAAAAGGACTACTTGCTTATGTAAAGCAACTTGCATATGCCTTTGTGTATGGGCCTTTATCGCTGCAACTGAAAATGCATGTTAAACTATCATAAAATTCAAACAACGTTGAGAACTCCCAAAATAGTCAGAAAAATAGGCAACTGGAGGTAAGGCTGAATGAGGATCAATACTTAATATATCTTAATCATTCTGATGAATTGCACTTCACAGAATCTAAATGTTGTACAGAGAGTCACCATGCTAGGGGTGAGAGGTAAAAACCAAAGAACTTGTCCACTTAGTTATCTTAACAAAAACTACCCGAAGACATTTAAAGATTGAGATACATTAACTACTGATCCTGGCAAAATTAATGCTTTCATAGTTAAGTTCTAATTACCTAACTCAGGTTATGCTTTTATTTAAAAAAATTCTCTAATATGCAAATATTCAGTGTTGCCGTGTGCACCTGTTGCAATCGCCTCAGAAAGGGCAGCATTCAGTAGTATGAAAAGAAATTCCCCATTATATATTTCTCACTTACTCCATACTGGGATGCTGTGAAATTCAGTTTATTAAACATGGCTAAAATACTTTGAGGCAGAGTGAAAATTATAAGCATTTATCTATAGGTAAGTATATTTATATAAATAAATGAGGCATCAAATGTTAGCCTATATGGGGAAAAACCCCAATATTTAAAAGTAATAAATTGTTGACTAGATTTTGTCTTTTAAGGGCGCGTCCACACGTGCAGCAGCTCAAATAGGAGTGCTTGCAGCAGCTCAAATAGGAGCAGCACAAATTTGAGCCAGGGATTTTTGCCTCAGCGCACGTGCCCAGACATGCACTTTGGTGTAGAGCAAGTTGGGCCCCAAGCACCCCAATGGAGACTGCTGCTGCGGATGAGCTGTGAGCCATGCAGGGGGAGCATGTGGAGTCTGTGGGGGGTGGGAGGGGGACCCACCCCTCCCAAGCTGCCCCCCCCACGGTCCCCCACACCCCCACCTCCTCCAGCCCCTCCCACCCTCTACTTATCTGGAACATAGCCCGGGTTCAGGTCACTGCAGTCTGCATCACTGTTTGCCCTGCACAGGCAGGCAGAGTGCTGCAGCATTAGGGCAAGGGGCAGGCATAAAGAGTTATCCGAGTGGCTCTTTGGAGGACCTCAGCCTCCGGTTGCCTCAGGGCATGGTCCTGGATTGTGCCCTGTCCAGCTTTTTTTCCCCTGGGGGTTTGGGGTTTTTTTTGATACAGGTATCAAATTTTGAGCCCGTGCTGCAAATATGCAGCGCAGAGAACGTTTTTTTTGTTCCCAGCATGCTTCTTGCTGTGCCTCAAACTGCTTTGAGATGTAGTAAGAGGCACGTGCAGGCTCATCTGGATGTGCCCTAAGAAGGTAAACTGGCTCACTGTCCCAGACTTGCAAGTCAGAATAAAAAATTCTAAAACACCACATCATTAGCTCAGCCTCTGAATGAATCCTCCAAACATCAGAGACTTTCACATGCAAGACAAATGGGCCAAAAGTACTAGATATGTTCAGTCATCTACCAAGCTACAATGGAGATATGCAAGAAGATTCTAAAGGGGTGAAGGGAAGAAAATCAATTTATTCACATACTTTATATGTCACATTATCATATTGATTTACAAAAAGGTCAAAGAAGAGATTGTCATAAAGAGGCATATTATCATCATGATAAAAGTACCGTGTCACAAACATACCTCTTTTAGTGACTGGGGTAGAAAGGTTTTGAACCACTAAATCTCTTTGCAGCATCCAAGGTGGAAGCACCCTTTTCCTCTGGGCAGGTTTTTGTTGTTCATTTTCATTACAATTGGCAGGAAAAACCTAAAATAACATTTACTGCTTAGTGCTACACATACCTCTTGTCCTAGTTTTAGCACAAAGAAAAATATATATTTCTTTTCTATATATTTGATTTAGAAAAAAGAAATTTGTAAGCAGCTAGATCTTCAGCTACAGACTGGACTGATGTGGTCTTCTGCCAAGCCAGTAACAATACTAAACACTTTGGTCCCTCCTACTCTCTTAGCTGATCAGCCTTCACAGAAGCTTGTATTCTTCCAATAAAAACTTCTTTAGCATAATATCATATGTTCATTTACCTTTATAAACCTTTTTGTTTTTGGTGATTTGCAACTCGGATATCTTGCACATACTGCTGACACAAGGCTTGTGCATACTGTACTGAGACATTAGAAAGGTTAAAGCAAGCAGAGCAAAGTACATCAAGTTGCTAAAAAAATGGCAGGTATAAACAGTTCAGAACTTAAGTACTGACTGAATTTCTTTTTAAGCTACGGTCAGAAACAAATCTACAACTCTAGAACTAGACTACCAAAACAAGAATAAAGATACTGTATTTATTCAAATACAAGATAAGTTTTTCCCCCCAAATGGCATGGGGAAAAGAGCCCCTCATCTTATCATTGCAAACAGGGAAATCTCACTAAAAACCATTAAGCGGCTCATAAAACCAGCATGTGCTCAGCAATGGAAACCAACTGGGAAGTTGATTAAATACAGCTAACACTGAGCATGGCTATAAAACCAATGGCCCATATTGAGCAAACATGTCAATGGAAGCCTACCACATGGATACACTAGTGCAACCTGTCTGAATAAGACATAAGAGCAAGAGAATAAGGGCAGCAAACAGGGCAATTTGCAAGCAGTCTCCTGGGAGCAAGGAGGAAGGGAAAAAGAAAGAGGAAGAGAAGCTAGACACCAAATCCTGCACTGGGAAGTAAGTGAGCCAGGGCTGCCTGTGTGTTTGGCTCCCTGGGTGTTTGTTTGATGGACTATGTGTTTGGGCATATGCTCTGAGCACCTGGAAGTGCTGCTGCTAGCTCAGCGATTCCTGCCTGTGTCTGAAAAAAACCCTAACAAGGAGGTGGAACCAGTCCAGGCTCAGGAGGCTATAAAAAAAGAAGACTGAAAGCAACCAGGGAACGAGAGAACATGACAGCAAACAGGACAGTTTGCAAGTCAGTTTGATGCCCCCCTATTGGCAGGGGAGCCTGTAAGGAAAGTTCTTTCTTTAAAAAAAGAGCAACTAACCTACATATATTTTGTTTAAGTAGCTAAAACTGGGCAGTTAGACCAATAGTTAAGCCCGTTGTTTAACTAGAGTGAGGGGGAGTCCACTAGACAGTTTGTCTGGAAACTCTCACACCTTCCTTCACTGTAAGCTTGGTGAGAGGACACAGGCTAGCAGGGAAATGGGAACCTTTTGGGACCAAGGCGCAACAAAGAGGCCAGCTTACAGGGGAGTTTGCTACGGAAGGTTTGCTTGGAAAGAGGTGGTGGATTAAGGAGACCCAGAGAAATAGGTGGAGGACACTGCAGTGCCAGAGCCACTGCCGCTGCCAGCATTTCTTTTGCCTGCACCTGTGAGGCGTCTAGTAGGGCTGTGCAAAATTTTGCCAGCTGTTTCATTTCAATGCTGTCTTGACTTGTTTCGAGTTCAAAACAGCAAAATCAAAACAAAACAGAGGGCTTCGAAAGAGCCTTGAAACAAAACAAGGCCAGTCAAAACATTTCAAAGCAGCAGCCCAGCCAGGTGGTGGAAGGCAGGGGGGAGCCAGGGCTGTGCTCCCAGAGGCTCCATGCAGCCCCACATGGCTCAGCCCAGTGGAGAGTGCAGCCCTGGCTCTCCCCACCTCCCACCGCCATGCTGCGCTCCAATCAGCTCCACTAGCCCCATGGAATTCAGCCTGGTGGCGGGAAGTAAGCAGAGGCAGAGCTGTGCTCCACCTCCTGCCACCAGGCTGAGTTCCACGGTGCTGGGAGCTGCTGGGCCCTGAGCCCGCTGGAGGCGGGCAAGGTGCAGCCCAGGGGTTTTGAGATCCTGGAAGACACTTTTAGAAACGTCTTAAGCCAAAATGCAACCCATTTTTCACCTCCATCCCATTCTTTCAGTATCATAAAAATGAGACAATATATTTTCATGAAAAAGGGGGAAAATATCAACCCTAGCAATCAAAACATTTGTGACAAGCCTTACCCATAATATTTTCAAGAGATGATATTGAAACACTCATCTGAAAAAGGATTCTTGATGCAAACACAGAGAACCTGAACTCTAGCAGTCCTCCAAGTATCATTACAGTAACGGCAGAACAGAAAAAGTTGGAATAAAACCAGGGATAGGGTACAGCAGTGGCAAGTTTTATAGAAAGCCGTGTGTGTTGGAAACTTGGTCATAAAAGTGCATAAAAACTATTATCTTCAACTTATTTAAAAATGAGTCAGAGTAAACAGGGAAATGTGTAAATATGTTCTATGATCATTTTATTGAATAGGGGTTTGGCTCCTACAATCGAGGGTCATTCCTTTAATAGGAGTTCTTTTTAGAGGATGTGTGAGAGTGCATAAGAAAGAAAGAAGGAAGGAAAGAAAGAAAGGAAGAAAGAAACCCACAATCCATTTATATATTTCCTAAATGTTTAGCACGATGCCTCTGTTGGCAAATACAAACCTACTGTAGTTCTTCCTTCAGCAAGAGTTTACAAAGTGCTTTCCTGTCTTCAAGTGGCTCTCAACTTTTATACTTTGTATGTTATTAATAGCATTTAAAACATATGTCCTTCTCTTTAAAATTGTGAAAAATGTAAACATAGAAATAAAGGAAAATGAATACACTTTGATACAATAAAGCACTTTATAGCAACCTGTTCAGGGTCCTCTTGTGTGCAAATATTCAAAAGACTGCTGACTGACATCATTCTCTCAGGTGAATTATAATGAAGTTGTTTAGAACAGGCAATTACATTGGCTGCAATGCTGAGCACTGGGGAAAACTCAAAAAGGCCAACTGAGCTGGGTTCCCAGCCACTTGCGGCTCCGTGGAACTGAGCCTGGTGGGTGGTAGCGGAGCGAAACACTGAGGCCGTGCTCCGCCTCTCTCCACTGGCTCAGCTCCTATGCGGGGCTCTGCCACACTCCTCCCCTGGGGTGCCCACCCCCATCTGCCTGCAATCAGAGGAGGCTGCTCCTCCTCCAGTTTTGTGCTTCCATATTATAGCCTGGGCGAAACATTGAAACAGCATCGAAATTTCAAGTGTTTCAACGAAACAAAAAACGGAACAGTGCTTTTGAAATGAAACTAAATTCAAGACAAAACACTGTTCTGTCAAAACATCGAAACACAAGTTGAAGCCAAACGGTGCTGTTTCGCACAGCCCTAGTGTCTACCCAGGTAGGACCACTCATCTTCTCCTGGGAAACTTCCACCCAGGTCCTAGTGCGGCACTGTGAAGTCTGCTGCTTACTGGTTCCTTCTAGTTACGATGAGGTGAGGGAGTGCCTGAAATACAAGCAGTGCCTCCTGGTGGTGTCCCTCAGGGACCAAACAAGAGGGCTACAGGGGAAGGTAGCAAGGCTCCGAAGCCTCCTCCACCATGAGGATTTCAATCAATTCCATGCTGGGGGAGACGTCTACTACTGCGGGGGAAGGACTACCAAAGGCAGTGCTAGAGAATGAAAAAAAATACAAACTCCCAGGATGGTGGAAGCTGGAAGCTTATGCCCTCTGGCAGCAAACAGAAGTCTTCATCTCCACGTGTAGCAGTTTGCCTGCAGAACAAATGGAACCCTAGCAACAGAAGAGGAGGAGGAGCAGGAGCACATTCTGTTGATGGAAAGAGACCAAACCAGGCATCCCCAAGATTGGGAAGATTGAGACTACTGATATCAAGAGGAAGAAAGACATGTGGTGGTGGTTGGAGACTTCCTCCTGTAGAGGCATCCATTTGCTGGCCTGACCTGTTGTCTCAGGAGGTCTGCTGCATGCCTGGAACCTGGATCCAAGATGTCACTGTGGGATTACCAAGATTCTTCCAGCCCTCTGACTACTATCCCATACTGCTCATCCATGTAGGCACCACTGATACTACCAAGGGTGACTGAGCAGATCAAGGGTGACTACAGGGCTCTGGGTACAAGGGTGAAGGGGAAAGGGGCTCAGGTGGCATTTTCCTCAATCCTTCCAGTCAAAGGGAAGGGTTTAAGCAGGAGCAGATGCAACCTGCAGATCAACACATGGCTGGCTGCACAGATGATGTCCCCAGCAGGGCTTTAGCTTCTTTGAACACAGGATGTTTTTCCAAGAAGAAAGTTTCTAGGAAAAGACAGGATCCATCTGGGAAGACAGGGAAGAGCATCTTCATAGACAGGCTTTCTAACCTAATGAGAAGGTCTTTAAAACTAGGATCACCGGAGGATGGAGTACAAAGCCCTGAGGTAAGGAAAGAAGCAGATAACAAGCAAAAGGCAGCAACAAGGGAGGATCTCTTTTTCTTCCTGAGAAAGTAGGGCAATTGGCTAGTTACCTCAGGGGTCTGTACACAAATGCAGAGCCTAGGAAACAAGCAGAAAGAATTGGAAGTCCTCACACACTCATGGACCTATGATGTGACTGGAATAACAGACTTGTCGGGATAGCTCGCATGACTGGAGCACTGTCATGGATGAGTACAAACTGTTCAAGAAGGACAGGCAGGGAAGAGGAGCAGGAGTTGCACTTCATGTAAAAGAGCTGTATGATTGCTGAAAGCTCCAGTATGAAATTGGAGATAGGCCTGTAGAAAGTCTATGGATTAGGGTCAAAGAGGGCAGCAACAAGGATGACATCATGGTTGGTGTGCGCTATAGGCCACCAGACCATAAGGATGAGATGAATGAGGCTTTCTTCAAACAGCTAGAGTAAGTTTCCAGATCACAGGTCCTGGTTCTCATGGGGGATTTCAAGCATCTTGACATCAGCTGGGAGGCAATACAGCAGTGCACAGGCAATCCAGGAAGTTTTTGGTGTTGGGGACAACTTC